GAGCACAAAACCACACTGGCCCGTGTTTTATGCTGACATCGTTTAGTCAAGCAAGAAGGAACAGCTTCCGACTGCAAAACCGAGCCGGGACTCCTGCCGGTTCTTGCTGAGAGAGAAACCACCGCACGGCAGCAGGTCTTTCTGGATCAGAAAGCAGATAAACTTCCCTCAGACACAGCTTCCTCCCCTCGGCTCCCTGGTGGCAGCCCACGCCGCTGGGACTGGGCTGGGGAAGGTTTGCTGTTGGGGGGGGGGGGGGGGAGACCAGGGCGGCTGCCGCAACGTGTCCCTCCTGGCAGCGGGGACACGAGCAGGCGATGTGGGGACAGACGTGCACCAGGGCTGCCTGCGGCTCACAGACCGCTCCCGCCACTGGCCAGGGCCACGTCTGGCTATTTTCATCTTAAGGAAGACACTTGTCCCACAGAGGTGAGGGGCTGGGTTCACTCAGAGGAACTGGTGATCCCTCGCTACACAGCTCGGAGGAGCACAGAGCTTGCGTGTGTGAACGCACCTCTCACAATTTGGCTACTGGAAGCCCAAACCAGCAGCCAATCGCACCCAGCGGATGTGAGGAGAGATATCACAGGCCCGGGAGCTGGCAGTGCTATCTGTGGGAGGGGCTGCTGGCCCAGAGGTGCTGCGGGAGGGAAAGCCCCGCTGCACCATGTCCCTCAGCCTGACTGGGTCCCAGCTCTCCCGAAGACACACGTCTCACCCCAAGGGCCTGGGCACAGCTCAGCCTTCCCCCTGCGCAGAGCTCAGGAGCAAACAGAGCTGGTCTGGGCTCTTGGGCAGCCTCAAGTCGCTGCGCTCAGACATGTCCTGCAGCTCGGCACGACCACACAGCCTGACCCTGTCTCCACTATCCGCCCTCCCTGACACAGCTTACCAGGATGGGCTTGGAAACACCCAGCAGAACCACCAAAGAGACACCCTGTGAAACACTCAGGGCCTCCTGGAGCGACGGGAGCTAGAAAAGCTGATGACATTTAACAGTCAGCAACAATCAGCCTCAGGGTACAAGGGATCTGTTTACAAAGCTGCAACATCCCAGCTGCAAAGCGTGCTGCTAGCAGGGGGCCTTTCTGTCCTCCGGATCAGGGAGCTGCCTACGTCCTGCCGTCCCTCCCGCCCCGTCGCAGAGCAGGGCGCAGCCCACCTCCGGTGTTGGTGATGGTGACAGGCACGCCCTGGACTTGCACGCCGTTGATGTTGATGGTCTGCATGGCCTGCGCCGCGGCCGCCAGCTGAGCTGCATTCAAGCTGATGATGCCTCCGGCGGGGGCAATCTTTGGCAGAGTGCGTTCCTTGCGTGTGGCTGGTTTCTTGTTGCTGCCCCCCGTGCCGGAACTGCGGGACACTGGGCTGCTGCAAGAGGTCCCAGACGGAGCCACCGTCATGGCTGGAGCTTCCTGAAGCAGCACTGTCTGCAGCTCACCCGACGGTGTTTTGAAGTAGACCTGATGGGAGGAGAGAAGAGGAATGAGACCAGCCACTGTCACTGGGCAGACCCCCCTCCACCACGATGGTCGCCCTCCCCACACAACCCAGGAATCTGCGCCTGTGATGAGCCAAAGAGCAGGAGAAGTTGCCTGAGCATCTGAAGACCCTTTGTGGGCCTCCTGAAGAAGGTCCTGGCCTTGCACGGCAGCAAAGGGCTGCTTTAGCCTTGCAGCCTGGTTTCCAAAGGCAACACTAAAGACACAGTCCTACAGGCTGTGAGCCCCACTCCCCCACCTCCCTCCATCTCCCAAGAGTTTCTGAGCAGGCTGGCTCATCCCAACCCGAGCTGGTGGCACAGCAGATGTTTCAAGGACACTGCGCTCCTACAGGTCCTGTAAAAGCAGGTGACCAGGAATAGAGACTTAATAAAGCCCTGCGGAGGAAACAGCTGTGCTCCCAACCCTTCTTAGGCATCAGAGAATCGACGCAAGCAATGCCAAGTTGATGGATGTTTGGTGGCTCACAAAACCCTTCGGCTTTTTAAAGCCTGGGTAAGAGCTCGGAGGAGAAACAGGGCAGAAGGACCTCGCAGGAGGACAAAGGAGGTGGTACCTGGGTAGGAGTGGGTTCCGACGTCTGGATCTGGAAGTTCTGGGAGGATTTTTGGGGGACGGTGGGGAGCGTGGCAGAGGCAGCTTGGACCACGCGCAGGGCCTGCTGCGGGATCTGCACCACCTGCGGCTCCTGCTTGGGCTGCACCACCTGCACCTGCTGCACCACGGCTGGCTGGCCGGAGCCCGGGCTCTGCACGATGAGCAGGTTGTTGCCCGCCTGGATGATGTTCTCCGCCATGGTCTCTATTAACACCGTCTCCACCTGCTCAGCCACAGCCACGGCG